TTGAGAACAAGTAAGTAAGAAGATATTAGCATTCAAAGTAAGAGTTACCTACTGGTGGTTTCACAGTTTGCATACCTATAGAGTTTTAGGTGCTTGGAGATCAAAACTCCATAATTTTATGTGATTCCACTTGCATGTAGGAGACAACCCATAAAGTTAACTCTCAAAAGAAGAATCATCCCTTTTTCATTGAGTTATGAGAGAGATATGGTCGATGGAACATACATTTACAAATCTGTCAAAATCGGACAGATTGCATGTTCATCTTATTTTGAGTAATTAAAACCTCAAATCACCACAATATTGAATGAAATCGATGGCATTTGAAAGGTAACTCATTAAAACTAACATCCAGAAGAAAAATCAACAAATTTTGAATGATTATCTAGAGAGTTATGACTATTCAAAGTAGGGTTTACCTAATGAAAAACTCTCAGATACATATATACAATGTTTTGAGCATTTGGGGGGTCAAAACTCATTGTTTTTGAGTGAAACCAAATGCATTGCAACCCCAACTCAATAAAAAACTTTTAAAAGAAACCTCATAACATTTGAACAAGCCATTTACAAGATATGGACGATTTTGTGCACAAGCACATAATCTGTCAACAGAAGAATATGAAGTTTTTAAGAAATAAACCACATAAAATCATGATTTCTTCCTACCTTTTTGAGTTCTAATGTTTGGGTCATGRATTACCACCATCAAATAAACATTTTTACATGTTTTTGGTGTATAATCTCACCTTGAGACCCAACATTTTCGAAACATAGAGAATAGAGGATGAAGAATGCAATGAAGTGGGTTTTTCTCCCCAAAACATACAAGAAAAGATGAAAGGATRAWTGCATTACCTTGTTTGAKGATGGAATGAATGTTGTATCTTCAAAATCTTGGCAAAATGATGAAGATGGATGGAGAAATCGGCTGGAATGGATGAAGGATGATGAAGATATCTCAAGGTGACCCTTGAGTTTTTAGGGAGAGAAATGAGAGAATTTTTGAATCTTGGATGAAAGAATTATGGGAACTAAAAGAAATTGATGCTATTTATATGTGGCCAAGGAAGGGAAATGGGGGGGGGGGGGAAGGCCGGCCATAAGGTCCCAAGCCCACCCTCACAAAATTGTTTTTTTTTATAAAAGAAAGCCCAAAAATGCACAAAAGCCCAATTTCTCAATTTTGACATTTTTATTCATTCTAAAAGCCCACGATGACTAAATTTATTTAAATAGAAAGGTTTTATATTTAAAACACTAAAACTTAGTGTTTTATATATATTGGGTATAAATTAGAGCATTTGGTACTGTATAGGATGTTTCAGATAATTTCGGGCCAGAACCGGACTTTCTAAGCAACTGCCGGAAATTCTTAAAATTTTTCTACTAAACTAATCTAACTAGCTCCTAATCTATAAATTAACTTCAATAACACTAATAYAATCTTAATAAAAGCTAACCTG